CTTTCTTCACAGTTAATAAATTGCTTGATATTGTGGAAACAATACTTTAGTTACTGAAACTGTCATCTGCTTTTGTACACAATAATATATGGATGATGGGATTATGCAACAGACTAAAAGTATAATGTAGGTTTTACAAACTGGAATTTTTGTATAGGTGCTTTTTTTGTACACGTTTACTTTTTTTTTTTTGTCTTTGAGCTTCTTCAGTAAGCATCATGTATGCTTGTGCTCCTGATTGCTTCATATTATAATCTGACTCAAATAAGAGGTGAAAATGGTTGAAAATGTTTAAATTTTGGAAACTACCAGATGTAACTCAGCTATAGTAGAGTCTCACAGCTCAGTATTTCTTAGTGAGATATCTTAAGTGACAGATATATTAACTGAGCGATTTCTAAGCCACCACTTAAAATTTCTGAAAGACACAACTGCTTTAACAGTGCAAAAAAGAGATGCTTTTTATATGTGCTAATAGAAATTGTAGACCACTCTTTCAAATGCTTTGCACAGCTCTGATACCTACTAGAGAGCTGTCCAGAAATCCAAGTTCAGAAGGTAACTGTAGGAAACATGTTCACATAGCTGCATCGTTTACTAGGCTTATGCAGCTTCCCTCCACAGTTAATGTACAATCATTGTGAAAATATGTTTTGGATAAGAGGTTCCTGACAGTTCCTGTGTGTGCATTTATATCTGGTACAAATAATCTCAACCCAACCATTGTTTCTCAGTCTTTCCTTTCCCTTTAATTCATTTGCTTTTCCTTCATATATTTGTTTTGCAACTTCTAGTTTATTCTTTCTACATAACCAATTTATATCTGTGTATTTCTTTCATACTGTTCACTCCCTGTTGTTTTCAGTCCACAGTCATTCAGCATCCATTAATTCTTGATCCTTTCTTCTCATGTTTTTTAATACACTTAAGTACTTAGTTCCCATGTTCAATTTATTTTTGTGTTTCTACTGACTCTTGACTCTGTACTACCCTCTTTGTTAGTTATGAGACAATCTATACAGAGCTATTTTCACATTTTTCAATATTTATTCTTTGTAAGAGACTATGTACTTACTGAGTATTATTCTACTAGCATTTGTGTGTCTTAAAATTTCTTAATTTTTAATGAACATTCCACTAAGGCATAGAAATGCATTTATACCCTCTATATTTTTAGGCATTATGTAGCATGTAATTTGCAATTATTCACTTTTCCTTGTCACATGCAACACAAATTTAATGTATTCTGTAAATGCTGCCATTAAAGTTACGTTGTATTTTTTAAACGTGGATGTGAATTGTTAATCACGTTTCAATTTCTTCCTTGAATTCTTCTAAAAAAATTTAAAAGTATGTGTTTAGTCTTTACACTGTACACTGATTTGTCTACTGATCTGTAGATATGATCGCTAAAATGTAATTGTTGAATGGCCTTTATAAAAATTACCCTCCAAATCCTAAATGTTTGCCCCTCTTTTTGCCAAAAATGTTTCAATGAGTAGAAACCACTGGAATTATAAGCTTATGTCTTATCTCTGCTGAGAAGAGAAATAGCTGAACATTGGAAGTTGAAGTACTGTATGCAGAGCTTTCATAAGAATGCTTATGTTTGGTTGATTTATTCTCTTAAACAGATGGACAGTAGTAGGAGGTGTAATTCTTTTAGCATAAAAAATATTATCCAGTGTTACTGCATGTGTGGGTGGTGCGAGTCTTTGTATCAGCACACTTCAGTAGTGTGCTTGTTTCTATGCTAGGCTTTCCCTCTTCCTAGCAAGTCAAGAACTTAAAAGAGTTCTGCATTTACATAGCAATTTGTTAATTTTAAAAAGTTATTTTTGTCACAAGAATAGCATTGAGAATAATTGTGGTTTTCCTCCTGTTTTTTAATTGCTCTGTAAACCTGGATTTGCAGTGGATAGTTGTGCAGGTTTAATTCAATTTAGCCTGAAGGCATAGTGTTTAATAATAATAAGATGGATAAACTAGAATAAGCTAGCTACATTATATATTGTGAGTTTATATTTACACTTGTGGTAATATTTTGCCCAAGGTTTTAGGAAGGAATCTGATTCTGATGTTAAGTTGTGCGTGTGTGCCCAGTTCCATTTGTGCTACTTCCAGCTGCTTTTTCCCCTAGAGGAACCTGTCTTCTGCTACATACCCATCAAGAATAATTGCACCATCTTGAAGACTTTTATGTACCTGTGACATGGGTTGAATATCTCTAGGGACATGGATTCAGGTAGAATGTGAATATGACCCCTGAAGCCATTTCAAGTGATTGCCGTAGCTTCTGATTACTAAAGGAGGATTACCGTAGGGTTTATTTGTTTCAAATCTCTTGCAATTAACTTTAGCGAAGACTGAGTCCGTGTCTTTAATAAAAGTCTGTTTATAACTTTGGAGGGCTAGAAAAGAAGTTTAATTCTTACCTCAGATTTGGAAAGGAAGCATAAATAATCATAGGGAACACTAGATGGTTTAGATCACATGCGTGGATATTATATCAATTTGTGCCTATGTTCTTGCTTAGTAGTGTCCACTATTTCTCTGCATGGAGTTGCTATGAATTAGCTATTTTCTCACAAAAATGAAATATTTCAGAGATTGGTGCTTCACTATCTCTATATTCTATTTTTATGTATTTTCTGTCATATGGTAATTGACTTCATTTACATTTTCATTCAATCTCAGTGAAGATGGATGTGTAGACAGAACTTTTCTTCTAACTTTAGAATTTTGAGCACCTAGTATGAATACTGATTTCATTTAAATCAGTTACAACTTGCAAAATACCTTCAGGGTTAACTGCTTAACTGTACTGTCTCTAATGCCATAGTATATTAATTGTATTTGCATTTTTACACCCTTCTGTATATGCTATATAAAATGAACCTTTTGAATATAATGCCTCTAATACACAAACTGTTGCTTTAGTAGTTTTGTAACAGTGAGAAATACTAAATACCGATACAATGAGTCAAAGATCAAATATATATCAAGAAGTTCTAATAAACTGAGTCAAATGGGGGAAATATGGGGGAACCACATTTTATTCAGTTTTCTTTTTTCTGTTTAAAGACAACAAAGTCTGCTGCATTTGGCTAGTTTAACATGGTTATTTCAAAAATTAAAAGATTTCCAAAGTTTATATAATGTTCTTGGCAATAATTAAAATAATTTGTCATTGCTTTTTGAATTTTTGTTTAATTTTTCAATCTAGCTCACAGCCCTGAGACTTCCTGTTAGTCTCCATGACTGATCCTGGTTAGCTTTTTTGGAACCAACCAGTTAGCTAGGTTATGCTACTTTTATTGTACTATTGCGGCATTGTAATGAACACTAACATTATCTGTAGCTCTCAGAAAGAAATCGGTTTTGCATAGCTAAATAACTAATCAAGGAGAGAAGCAACCTAGAACTAAGGAGAAACTTCCTGACAGTTAGAACAATTAACCAGTGGAACAACCTGCCTCCAGAAGCGGTGAATGCTCCAACACTGGAAGTTTTTAAGAAGAGACTGGACAGCCATCTGTCCGAAATGGTGTAGGGTTTCCTGCCTAAGCAGGGGTTTGACTTGATGACTTCCAAGGTCCCTTCCAACTTTATTATTATTATTATTATTATTATTATTATTATTATTATTATTATTATTATCATCATCATCATCATCATCATCATCATCATCATCATCATCATCATCATCATCATCATCATCTCCTTTAGAATTCAACCCCAAATGCTTAGTGCTCTCTGAATATATACTTAGGTGTAGTTCCAATAAAATCCTGAGATCCAGCCTTGGGTCATTTTGACTTTCTACAAAGGCCTCTGGTGTACATGGAGGGACAAGAAGCATTCTTGGAAGTAACAGTTCAGCTTGAGGCTGGCACTTAGCTTTGGCACACTAATTTTCAATTTAGTTTTTTTTAATTGAAAGAAACTTTAATTTAATTTCGTATTGAACAAAGACAACCGTGTAACAACCGGTTCAAAATTTCGAGACTTAAGGTCTTACGAGTTGATGTTACCGGTTATCAGTTTCATTAACCCTTAAGATCCTCATCATCACGACCGTTCGATCTCGAGAGTCTTGCCCTTTGTAACTCTTTCACCGGACTTAGTAGTAAATTTCATAGAAATGTACTACGAAAAATGACCATCATTCAGCATGTTCAAAATAATCTGCTCAGTATTCAAATGGTTATTCAAATTCAGGTAGTCCTCCACTTACAGTGACAATGGAGCCCAACATTTCCATTGCTAAGCAAGACAGTTGTTAAGTGACTTATGCCATTTTACAACATTTTTGCCACAGTTATTAAGTGAATCTTATGACTGTTAAGTGAATTTAACGTTCTCTATTACCTTTGCTTGTAATGAGCCAGCTGAGAAGGTTTCAAATGATGATCACATGACCCCGGGACGGTGCAGCTGTCATAAATACATGCTAGTTATCAAGCACCCGAATTTTGATCACGTGACCAAGGGGATTTTGCAACAGTTGTAAGTGTGAAAAATGGTCATAAGTCACTTTTTTCCAGTGCTGTTGAACAGTCACTAATGGAATGGTTGTAAATCTGGGATTACCTTTAAGTGCCTTGCCATCTTTTCCCCCCAATATCATTTACTGCAAAAGTAAGCAGTTTGCAGCTTACTGGCCCCAGAGCCTTGCAACCCCCAGAGTTCCCTGGAATTGGTGGGGCTGAAAATAACTGTGCTGTTGTAACTTTGAATGGGCACTAAATGAATGGATGTAAGTTGAGGACTACCTGTATAATTCATTGAAGCCCCCATTTGGGAATATTATATGAACAATCATTATGAACTACAAGATACTTCGATTGTGTAAACTGTTTTTCATTTAAATCCTCTTAAGATGTCTGATAAATCTGAATAAAATAAAATAAAAAATAAAAAAAAGAGAAAAGATCTCCGAAACACAGACTGTGGTCCTTGTTAAACGTCTACTCTCCGGATCACCAAAATGAACACAGATTCCGACGACCGGGGTTGAAGTCAACAGAAGAGTCCATTCAGAATGACATTGTCAGTGGGATATATTCCAGGCAAGTATTTGGATAATCCAAAGGAACATATAAATTGTCATCTTTCCGTCAATGTATATTTACTTTAGATGGAAGGATGGATCAATTGATGGATGGATGGATGGATTGATCGATAAATTGATAGAGTGGTGAATAAGAATCAGCAGTGTTCTATTTTAAACATTTCTATAGCATGGAAAAATTATTTTCAGTGTTTATCTAAATTATATATTGTTTGTGCTTTATATTGCACTCTTAAAAAGCATATTTAGTTGCAATGAGAAATATCTTCACAGAATTATTCCTGAGGTTGCAGGAAATATTTTTTAAAATGTGTTATTAACCTTATCTTGTTTCATCCCAACAACCTTGTGAAATAGATTGGACTAATAAGTTCCTCGGACTAACCATTGTGGTACCCTTGCCATATCTTAATTACCTATGCAACTACCGTAGGCAATTACTTAATGTGTCTATTTGGCTATATGTGGCAAGCTATGAAAACTTTCTTTAAAAGTCAGTGATGATACGTGGAAACTAAATGCGTTCCTCATATACCCTTAAACCAGGCAAGGCTATTATATTTCATGTTTACCATGAAGCTATTTTTTAACATTCTGAGTAGCCTGAAAATTGTTTTATTGTAAATGCTGAAAAGCAAGAAAAAGCTTAGCTGTTAAAAATTCCTATCATTCTTTTGAAATGGAAGTTAAATTCAAGCAACAATAGATTTTGCTTTTCATTTTTATTACTTCTCTCATAAAAGAGGGGAGAGGTACGTCAGGAAAAGGTCTGAACTTCCCTATAATTTGAAGAAAATCGTGTAAATGTTTGCTTGTCTAAAATTTGCTACATTTTTATCACATTACTTTTGTTCTAAATATTTAATTCATGAACATTCCAGGAGAAATGTTGGGTGGATTATTGGCCAGTTGTTGGATGTTTGAAGTTGACTACCTTTTCAAAATCCATGAACTGTCTCTAATACCCTTTATTGCTATTTACCAAAGTAATGAGTGTGAAATCTCATGTGGTTGTTTCAGTGATTAGTAAGCTAGGGGTCATCATTCGGGGCAATCACACATTGCTTTCCCTGATTTTCGTTAATGAAAGCAGCAATAGGATGATGCTGTCTAAATAAAAAAGATCATGGGGAATGGACAGAGACTCTTTCACTTGACTAATTTTTCTATTTAAAATGTATTGCCCATTGCCTTTCTTTTAGAACAAAAATAAAGTTGTAGAAAGGTATTAGCTTTATTTTATTTATTCTTTTGCTTTACTTAAGCGTTCATGATATTTTCAGTTTAAAAGTAAGCTGAAATCTTAGACTATTGCTATCCAAAAGATCTTCATTAGTCTAGATCAGGGGTCCCAAACCCCCAGTCTGTGGACCAGTACCGGGCCGCGGCATGCCAGCAACTAGTCCGCACAAACAAGCAAAACCCCATCCGCAGAATGCAGGCAGCACACAAAACCACGCACCTTCCGGTCCGTGGAAAAATCTCTCTCCACGGAACCGGTCCCTGGTGCCCAAAAGGTTGGGGACCTCTGACCTAGATGATCTGACTTGATATTTCATGCTTGAATCTCGTATACCTCAGTATGGAAGGAAAAGTGAGTAGTGTTCCTTATTGTGAGTACAGATAGTCCTCGGCTTACAACAGTTCATTTAGTGACCGTTCAAAGTTACAGTGGCACTGAAAAAAGTGACTTATGACCATTTTCCACAGTTACAACTTTTGCAGCATCCCCATGTAATCATGTGATCAAAATTCAGACACGTGGCAACTGGTTCATACTTATGACCATTGCAGTGTCCCAGGGTCATGTGATCACTTTTTGCAATCTTCTGACAAGCAAAGACAATGGGCAAGTCAGATTCACTTAACAACCAGGTTATTAACTTATCAACTGCAGTGATTCACTTAACAACTGTGGCCAGATATGTGTTAAAATGGGACAAAACTCATTTAACAAATTCTCACTTAACAACATAAATTTTGGGCTCAATTGGGTTGTAAGTCAAGGATTACCTGTACCCCATTTCTAACTCTATCTAGTAAAGGCTCTTTCAGTCTGAAATTAATTTCAGAAATAAGTATCTATAATGGCTTCATGAAGTCTTCTTAACCACTGTCCTTATCCGTGCATATTTCTTATGGAGCATTTAATGTATAAATAATACATGCACCTTATTAATTTTAATACATACAAAATTCTGCAACAGCCAAATAACATTTTACATGGTTCAATTTAATAATTTTATGAAACTGGGCCAAAGTAGTACATTAACATTTAACTACGAACTTCTGAATTAATAGTATCTCTTCTAGTAAAATTCTAATTCCTTCGTCCTTGTTCATATCATAGTTCTAACGTTGAAGAGTAATTTCTGTATTTTTATCAGTCGGTATTGCAAAACTGTCTTTCTTCTCATTATTAGATGCTACAATTTTAGGAACACTAAAATAGTCAACTGAGATTCAACGGTTTGGTAGAGGGGTAGGAATAAGTGGTTAAAATCCCATGGTTAGGTAACTTTAAAATTAAAGCCAAAGCAATTTCCATTCTGAGTTTATACAAGTAGTCCTCGATTTATGACCACAACTGAGTTCAAAATTTCTGTTGCTAAGCAAGACAGTTAATTGAATTTTGTTCCATTTACAACCTTTCTTACCACAGTAGTGGCCAAAATTGTGGAAACCTTTTGGGAAAAGTGTATTTTTGAGGTTTAATGGCTAATAACATCACTTTTTTTGGAGTAGTACCATAAATTTTTATATCAATGGAAAGATAATTTAATCAAGAATGTAATGCAACAAAGTTTGTTCAATTATCTGTATTGTATTCTATGAAAAGTTATAGCCAAATAACCAGAAAAAGGAAGCACAACTTGCTTAGGTTGATATCAGGTAGCTTTCCTTCATCTGATTGTAGCCAATGAGCGTGAGTGTTTAGAGAGCCAATCAGGTGTCATCTTGTTTTGGCAATGAGCCAATCAGATCACAGTAGGATTCAGTTATTGATGTCATGTATTGAAACTGAGAGGAGGACATTTGTCAGTGTGTTATGTGATCGCTATCAAGTTGGTTGGGGGGGGGTTTCTCTTTCATTTAGTGAGCTTGTAAAACGTAACAAAATTAAAGTAATGGTGCAAAGAATTGACTGGTCGCCCAGAAAGCGATGTAAAATAGTATTATTAAGTGAACAAGGCTACAGTTATAAAGAAACTAGAAGAAAAATTGGTGAAAACTTAACCAAAGGTGGCATTTCTACTGTATGCTTTTCCCAAAAGGTTTCCACAATTTTGGCCATTATTGTAAAAGTTGTTAAGTGAATCTCTGCAGTTTTTAAGTTAGTAACACAGTTGTTAAATGAATCTGGCTTCCCCAATGACTTTGTTTGTCAGAAGGTTGCAAAAGGTGATCACATGACCCTGTGACACTGCAACCGTCATAAATACAAGACAGGGATGCTGCAGCGCCGTCAGTATGAAAAAGAGTCATAAGTCACTTTTTTTCAGTGCCGTTGTAACTTCAAATGGTCACTAAACCAGGGTTGTAAGTCAAGAACTACCTGTATGCACTGTGTGGCAAATTTACAAAAACTTACTTGATTTGGTGCAGTGTTTGGTAAATTTGTAGACTTTTATCTTTATAATTTAAAAGATTTAACTAAGAACCAGGGTTGTATGAAAGAGATGTAACTTTCAGCTGTACATACAAAACTTGAAAAATGTAGAGATAATTTTTTAAAAACTTAAATATCCTGCTGCATATACTCTTTTATTTTTACTTTGTTTTCTGAAATGTCATGAGCTATTATTACTCATTTTCCTCAGAAATTAAATTTGAGACTCCCCAGAAATGCTCTGTAGCTAGGATTCAACTTGGATGAAGAGCGGTATTTCTATCACCAGCTTTGAATAGAATTTCATATAATTTTTGGTTATGTATTTCAAGCCTAAGTGTAGTGCCATAATAGCTGTTAGTTGACATTCGTTCAATTTGTATGTTAGGAATTCATATTTTTGGCTCATTTAATAGTTCTGGGGTTTGGAAAATGAGGGCTCCATGCAGTTTGTAAAAGCATGCATGATTTTCAGTAGAACTGAAGTAATTATGAAGATACTGCTGCAGTTCTGAAGAACAAGATTTTAGAGAAAGTTGAATTGTAAGACTCAGCTGCATATATTAGAGTAATATATCATGTTTCTAGGGTTGTTAATTGTTCTTTGACTTCTAGATTTGTTAATGAAAGGCTATAACAGTGGATTCCAACCTCTGCTCCTGTATATTAGGACTCCGTTCACACACACACACTGTTTTGTGCAGTTTTGTTGGCCTAATCTATCTTCTCAGCAATGTTGCCTTTTAATTAAGATATATCTTGTCAGTGACAAGTATCTTGAGACACAATTACTAAGTGCAGAAATGTTTAAACTGTTCAGCAGTTTTTGGCACTAACCATTCCTCACAAAATAGATTAATTGAAAGACCTAAGTGAAAATGTTATTTGTACAGTGCATACCTTCTAGAAAATTATTGAGGTAAGATTGGAACAATTTTAGAACAATTTTTTTCTTGCTGCAATAGGTCAGGGTCTATTCTTTCCAGAATTGCAAAACTGATCAAGATTGACTCCCTTTGGCAAGAACAGTTATTGTGATCTTGATCAGGGACTCATGTAAATGTCATTTTTTTTAGATAAAGATCAGGTTACACTGCAGATCACAGTATTGCAGAATTACACAGAGATTAAAAAAATTCTCAAACTGTTGCTCACCATGGTAAGTATATACTGTACATGTAAGTGTAGGCTCATATGGACACTGCAACAAGAATACCATACTGAAATAAATTAGGTAAGTATGAGGTTATTTTATTTATGAAAGTTGCCCAATTCCAGAAGATTCTGGATCAAATACTACAATAAAAGCAATAAAAACCAATACAACAAAAGAAATGAATCAAAAGAAAAAAAAACAAAGAGCAGTGCACCTTTTGGAAGGAAACTGT